GATTCAGTTTCCAGCACATGTTGAAGCACGAACGTTGAGAAGAGAATAATTTATTGGTTCAAAGACTACTTCGTGAAACTAAATTTTTGACTACAAATGTTTTCAGCAAACCTTTTTTTCCAGCGTTGTTATTTTTATTGGCATCCATGTACTGTATACTTCTAAAATCTTTGGAAACAATCTGGGATCAATTTCAGATAAAATAATGTAAGTCAAACTTGCCAGCGAATGTCCCTAAACAGGATACTTTAAAATCACATTTGCTGTTGAAAGATTGCATTTTCTGTATCGTCACTGCCTTTTCTAACCAACATTTGAAAGTACGTTCAAGCCCAGTTAGCTGAGCAGAAACCACCTCTCCAAGATTCTAATCTTTTATTTTTGCTACATTTCTTTCAGATTAGCCTGAATTTTCAACCTAACTATATATTATGGTTTGCCACTATTAATTTGAGAAGGAGCTGTTTATACCTTTCCATAGGGCCAGGGTTTTTTTGCGGAACGGCTCTACCCCGTTCCTCTTCAAAGGATCCTTAACGTAACCTTCCCAAAGTCCCCTGGCTTTTCTCCCTCCCCACTCAACCGGCCTGACATTTAGAAAAGACTGGAGCAAAACACACCAGACGCATATGGGGTATGACTTAATAAGTGGCATCACCTTGTGACGGGGACAGTCACCAAGGTTTAAGTGTCTGAGCATCACCGTGCCCTGGCTGGAGATCCCAGGGTCCGGCCCCTTCCCGTATCTCAGGGCAGGACTCCAGCCCCGTGACACAGCCCACTTCTTACAGGAAAACCCAAACCTTGCTTGAGGGGGGGGAAAACAAGAGGGAATCTCTTTTCAAGCAGTGAGCACATCACAGCAAACTCGTAGTTCGCTAAGTCGGGTAGAAAGGGATATGGCTGTTAGTGAGCCCTCTTCAGTTAGATTAATTTTTGATGTGGGACATTCTCTTTCTGACACCTTATTACAAAGGCTGAAGGTGGCTCTTCCAAAGGTTAGAAATCAATACCACCTCCGTTTATTAGCTACGAGTTATAGAATCATAGAATCATAGAATCATTGAGGTTGGAAGAGACCCTTGGGATCATCGAGTCCAACCATCTCCCCTACTCTACAAAGTCCTCCCCTACACCATGTCCCTCAGCACTGCATCTAAACGGCCCTTAAACACAGCCAGGGATGGTGACTCCACCCCCTCCCTGGGCAGCCTGTTCCAATGCCCGACCACTCTTTCGGTGAAAAATTCTTTCCTAATGTTCAATCTAAACCTACCCTGTTGGAGCTTGAAGCCATACCTGTGAGAAGAGACCAGCACCAACCTCTCTACAGTGTCCTTTCACAAAGTTGTAGAGGTCTCCCCTCAGCCTCCTCTTCCTCATACTAAATGGTATGTATACTAAATGTATGGTTAATACAAACCAAAATGATTTACGGCATTGCCTATATGTAAGTATAATGTACAGAACAGAGATGTTCATGCACAGATTATACACACAGGACAGTTGCAGATACAATCCAGAGCTACAGTGATACCCATGGACCAAAAATAAAAATATTTTCAAAAAGGACCACAAAAATCAGGGCAGAATGGGTCCACTGGTAGTTATTAAACAAGAGGGTCTGTGTTTTTGTTTCAGGAAATCTTCTCTTACTGCTTGCCAGCGCTGGGAGGACGTATACCAGGTGAAGGACAACTCTATACTTATCCCAGGCTTATGTTTCTCTCTGAGATCTTTTACTGGCTGCTCTCAGAAACAGGATACTGGTCTAGACAGCCTGCGGTGTGACCTACAGTGGCTGGTTTTAAGTCCTTTCTTTGTATCTCTAGGCACGTTTATGTAAATACCTACAACTGTTCCTTTAGTTTCCTCTATCTTCTTTTTTTTTTTTTTTTAAAATTGCAGTATTCATTAAGTGTTTAATTTTACTAGGACCCCATGAAGCAAAAGTTTCTTTTAATGCAGGGCCAATTTAGAACATGCCTGCTGCTTACTTGCTCACTGAAGGAAGACGAAGTACAAATTGTCTCGCTGTGATTTTAAATCTCCTACCCACAGCTCCTTACCCCAGATGATCTACAGCAGAAATAACCCAGGCAACTGATTTGGCTTAAATGTCCTCGGCAAAATCTGACATTTCCACCTGCTTTCTCTTTGCTGTAAGAAGAGACCCCCAGTGAAGAGCTTGACTGAAATTGTCCAGACTCTAAAGTGCAGGTTGATTTGATCAACGCCCCCCTGCTGCCAGATTTTGGCATTAAAGTTCACTGTAAATTACTTAAGACTCTCCTTGACATCCTATCAACGTGATGAGCAGTTTTTACCTGGTACAGGCTGGCAAGGTGGTGTTTAGTTTTGATGAGAAAGGGTTGGTTGACCCCAGGGTGATCCACGTCGTGAGCCGCAGCAGCGAGCAGTCCGAGCATGATGTCCGACGGGGTGAGGAAGTTGGCAAGCTGCATCACACACGTTAATCACAACAAGAATCACAAAATTGTCTAGGTTGGAAGGGACCTTTAAGATCATCTAGTCCAACCATCAACCTAACTCTGATAAAAAAAACAAAGGAAAACCATACACCCGCCCCCCCCATCACTAAGCACATGTCTCTAAGCTCTATGTCAACCTGTCTTTTAAATACCTCCAGGGATGGTCCCTCAACCACTTCCCTGGGCAGCCCATTCCAATCCTTAACAACCCTTTCAGTGTAAACATTTTTCCTAATATCCAATCTGAACCTCCCCTGGCACAACTTGAGAACATCAACAGTAAACGCTTTGGTTTGTTTTTTTTTTAACTTTTGGCAAATAAAGGAATCAGCTCATGGCACTGCTCAGTTTTGTAGGACAGTACATAAACGTTAAATATAAAATAAATTTTGTGAATAACGTTTTTAAGGTGACTGTTGAACAAACATCTATAAAGATATCAGACTATATACTTGTATTTTATTACAGTTTGTACTTCTTATCTCTTTATCGTTTATGGCAATATTAGCATAGAAGAGTTTGAGCTTAGCCTAAAGGATTCAGTTTTAGGAAGGAAATAAGATTACTAGCAGGCTGGCATACGTTAGCATACACCATAAGGGCTCTGCCTCGCACAGTATTTAGTAACACCAACAATACACCAGGCTTCATTTTTCCAGCACAGCACCGTGCTGCAAAGCGCAGAGTTCATAAACTTCTGCAATTTCAAACTCAGTTGTTGGGCATCTCAGTTCAAATGTAGGCATTTTATTAGAGAACATCATTTACCTTTCTAACCTCAGACGTCCAAATTTGAAAACCTGCCCAGACTTTTTTTTCCTGAGGTACAGCTTATCATTCCGAAGCAAATTTTGTTATCATTGGGGAAAAAAAAAATATAAAATTGAAGTCTTAGCATTTTCTGTTTCTGAGAGTGAGGTAGTTATTAATGGCCTGATGAGTCTGTACAGAACACAGGTCTGTGGGCTGAATGAAGCACCCTGTGATGAGAAATGAAGAGCAGCACGGTACAGATTCTGGATATTGGCTGTCCCCAGCACTTTTTCACAGCAGGGGCTTGTGGAGCTTGCTGGAGATGGAAATACAGGAAAGCTGGGGCCTGCTCCTGTATTGTCTAGGTTGGAAGGGGCCTTGAAGACCACCTAGTCCAACCATCAACTGTATTCTGGTCTAACAATTTGCTAATTCTAGCAGAACTTCCCTTCCTTTTAGTCAAGACAGGAAAGATTAGTTATATTCTTACACCCTGGCTCAGCACGAGAATATCACGGTGCCTTCCCAGTAGCACCAAATGCAACGTCACACGGCCATGGTTTGGGATGGCCTGGCCACCGAGCTGAAGGACGTTGTGAGGACTTGCTGCAGCGTTCAAAGACTGCTCTTGACTCCTGCGGAGGACACCCCTTGCAACAGACCCGGTCAAAGGGAAAACTTTTCCCATTTTCTGGTGTTGCACTGACAAATTTGGTATTTTGAAATATCCATGTGAGGGGTTTATGCCCTGAGGTGACCGAGGCTGCTACTGCCTTGTTGCTGACTTCAAGTATGCAATCATTTTCTATTATCTAAAACTATTTTTTGCGTTTATTTTTTTTTTTAATCCTGGGGGAAAAAAGAATTGAGAATTATCTGCAAATACCACCAGTGTGAGAGACTGTTTTTACCTTGGGCTCCCTCAGGTAGCAGTGCATAGCTTGTGTGACATCGGCAGCATGGACGGCGTTGTGGTACGGGTTCTGGCTGTGGTAATCTTCTTGAACCATAACTGGGAACCAAAACAGAAAACAAAGATCCTTTTGTCTCTTGAGCGCCGCGGCCACAAGTGGGAAGGGGATTTAAAACACAATTTGAGGTTTTACAGTCAGCTGCCTAAGGAGTTTCTTCAAGTATCTGGAGCTTACTTAGACTGGTGCTCTTACTGGGACACCTTTAGAGAAAAAATGCATGAAAGGATTTGTGAGGCCCAAGGGGCTATACCGGGCCTAGTTCATAAATCAACTCTTTCTTGCCTTAGTGAAGGCCCTCATTCAGGAGTAAAATAAATAAGGAAGAGAAGCGAATTTATCCACAACGGAGTGTAATTATTTACGCTGCTGTCATAGGGGAGTAATGTCATTAAGGCAGTACCACCTATTTTTACAGCGGCAGGGGGTAAGGCCCCGATACCCCGGCATCATTAGTTATTTGAGTACCTAGAAATGGTCAAAGGCATTCCTACATCCAGACACAGAACTGAAAGACAAAGCGTTGGGGCATTCAGAGCAAAATCTGTGATAATTTTAGTCACGTCGATGTGTCTGTTTTAGTTATTTGAGTACCTAGAAATGGTCAAAGGCATTCCTACATCCAGACACAGAACTGAAAGACAAAGCGTTGGGGCATTCGGAGCAAAATCTGTGATAATTTTAGTCACGTCAATGCGTCTGTTTTAAAATACAAGCCTTGTTTTAGTGTGCAGAGCTGGAGTTGGTCCAGCTGGAAGGTCGAGCAAAGGCATTCCTACATCCAGACACAGAACTGAAAGACAAAGCGTTGGGGCATTCAGAGCAAAATCTGTGATAATTTTAGTCACGTCGATGTGTCTGTTTTAAAATACAAGCCTTGTTTTAGTGTGCAGGGCTGGAATTGGTCCAGCTGGAAGGCCGAGCAGCAACCTTTTAACTCTCAGCTTCCCCTCGCGCAGAACGTGGTTGAGGTGTGTGCTTCACACCCATCTGTTCCTTGCAGCAGGACCTGCACCATGAGGTGGTCTCGAGGCAGCACCACGTGAAGAGTGGAAGCTGTGACGTGACCTTGCCCAAAGTGCTCTCCTAGGCACTATCAAATTAATCAAGCAGAAAGGTAATGGGCCGATTTCCCATGGCGCTCGTCTCCAGCATGGGGAATGCCAAAGAAAGTCCTAGCTTTCTGTTTGTTTCCAGCTCCACCAACAATTCACAGAATCATAGAATCATCATAGAATGGTTTGTGTTGGAAGGGACCTTAAAGATCATCCAGTTCCAACCCCCCTGCCCTGGGCAGGGACACCTCCCACCAGACCAGGTTGCTCCAAGCCCCATCCAGCCTGGCCTTGAACCCCTGCAGGGATGGGGCAGCCACAGCTTCTCTGGGCAACCTCTTCCAGTGTCTCACCAACCTCACAGCAAAGAATTTCTTTCTAGTATCTAATCAAAATCTCCCCTCTTTCAGTTTAAAACCATTACTCCTCATCCTATTGCTCCACTCCCTGATCAAGAGTCCCTCTCTATCTCTCCTGTAGCCCCCTTAGGGACTGGAAGGGTGTCTAAGGTCTCCCCAGAGCCTTCTCTTCTCCAGGCTGAACAACCCCAACTCTGTCAGCCTGTCTTCATAGCAGAGGTGCTCCAGCCCTCTGAACATCTTCGTGGCCTTCCTCTGACCTGTTCCAACAGGTCCAACAGGTCCTTCCCATGGTGAGGACCCCAGAGATAGATGCAGTACTCCAGGTGGAGTCTCACCAGAGCGGAGCAGAGGAGTAGAATCACCTCCCTGGCCCTGCTGGCCATGCTTCTTTTGATGCAGCCTGGGATGCAGTTGGTTTCTGGGCTGCCAGCTCACATTGCCGGCTCACGTCCACCATTTGAAGTTACAGTGAGTGACCCTTTAACCCCCAAATACTGCGAGCTCTAATGATCTGAGAGTCCATTTCATGACGGCCCATGGGAGTCAGAAACAGCAGGGAGATTTTGTCTGTCTCCACACCAGAGAAATGCTTTCCAGAAGCGACAATTACGCAGTCTTAAAGAAGAGACCTTGCCTTTGAAACTCTGTCTGACAGCCTAACAAACCCGCATTCAGCTCCACTCAAAACATGATGCAAAAAGTAATTGATTTTGGCCAATTTCTGCTTTTGGTTCGCTGACAGCATGGGGCTAATATTTCTGTTGGCAGTAACAGCAGCAGGGGCTTTCATCAACACTATTCAGCACAGACAGCTTGATATAATTTGTTAAATTTTGCACATAAGCTTTTAACTGCCCTGGGTCTCAGTGGTCTATTAGTCACTAAAATAATGACACCGCACCACAATTGTGCTGTGCACGGGTAGGTTCTGCAACGTCTGTCTGTCTGTCTGTGTGGGCCACATCTCTGCACGGCATACTGTTTTTAAAGTCACCAGTGCAATTGTGGTACTGGGATGTTTCAGCCCAGTGCAGAGCCTTTGGAAGTCCTTCTGTTGATTTTATAGAATCATAGAATGGTTTGGGTTGGAAGGAACCTACAAGATCATCCAGTTCCAACGCCATGCCCTGGGCAGGGACACCTCCCACCAGACCAGGTTGCTCCAAGCCCCATCCAGCCTGGCCTTGAACACCTCCAGGGATAGGACATCCATGGCTTCCCTGGGAGAGACTTGAACCCCTCCAGGGATAGGGCATCCACGGCTTCCCTGGGAGAGACTTAACAGGTACTGAACCAACAGCCCCAGTGCCTGTAAATTATATGCTAATATTTATCTCAGAAAAGTTTTACTGAAATATTTGCAATGACATCATGATTTTGTGTGTCTAGATACACAGACACAGTGATGCCTTTGATGCCCTATTTAAGCTGTAAACTGCATTTAAATATGGCGTTGAGGTGAGCACTTACCTAAAAACCTGTGTAACGTAACCATATCTAACTGGAAATGGTGGATAAGCCCATGCACATTGAAGAGGTGACAAAGCAGCGTTACGAGACTGTTTCCTAAAAGCAGAAAGGAACAACTCTTAGATACCCTTAATATGGAATTACAAACTAAGCAAGACTTAAAATCTTGGTAACTTCCTATTAGTCAGCTCCTATCACCTTAACTCCTACCATATGAACTTACATGACACTCACATACTCAAAAGTAGTTTATAAATATTACTGCTACATATGATGAAGATTTGATGGCAGCATTGCAGTGGAGTGCCACTCTTGTGTCTAGATGCCATAAAGTCACGTTTGCTGTTCCAACATGACACACAGAAGGCAAATTGACATGGTTTTAACTGGAAATGTTTTGACAGGCTTGTTTGAGAACCGATGCCATAAAGTCACGTTTGCTGTTCCAACGTGACACACAGAAGGCAAACTGACATGGTTTTAACTGGAAACCTTTTGACAGGCTTGTTTGAGAACCACATAGAATCACAGAATGGTCAGAGTTGGAAGAGACTTTAAAGATCAACCAGTTCCAACCCCCCTGCCATGGGCAGGGACACCTCCCACCAGACCAGGTTGCTCCAAGCCCCATCCAGCCTGGCCTTGAACCCCTCCAGGGATGGGGCAGCCACAGCTTCTCTGGGCAACCTGTGCCAGTGTCTCACCACCCTCACAGCAAAGAACTTCTTCCTAATATCTAATCTAAATCTCCCCTCTTTCAGTTTAAAACCATTACCCCTCGTCCTATCACTCCCCTCCCTGATCAAGAGTCCCTCCCCATCTCTCCTGTAGCCCCTTCAGGGACTGGAAGGGGCTCTAAGGTCTCTCTGGAGCCTTCTCTTCCCCAGGCTGAACAATCCCAACTCTCTCAGCCCTGTCATCTTCATAAGCCAAGTCTACCTCCAGAAATCACAGAGAGGAGAATGGCTTTTCTGCCATTTCAGTTTGCCATACTGTACTGATTAATTAATTACTGAGAAATCAGTACTTTGTAATTAATTTTTTTATTTTACACATTATTACAAACATGTAATTAACTCACATCCCTAGCTCAGCTACAGTTGCATCTCATAATCACGCTGCAGACAGGAAAAAATGAGTTGCAGCATTTACAGTCTGAAGCCCCACTGTAACATAACACTGGACTTACCATGAATCCCATACTGGGAACACTGGCAAAACTGACCCTAGCTAGTATTATACCATCAACTACACATACACACGGTATTTAAAAAAAGTTTTCACTGCATAATTCAGCAGAAATGTTTCCAGAAAAGTTAGAGAAAGACATCATAAACCCAACCAACCCATTCTACGTATAAACACTGTTTGAAGGCAGTCTTTTCATATTTAATGTAACTCAGGAAAGAAAATAAATTTATGTACGAAGAGGACATGGAAACTTATTTGGCCTTCACTACTGAGCAGGGGTGCAGAAAGGTAATTTAGAAGAATTATGCTTTTGCTTCCCTTGCCATTTGCAGTCCTTTCCACCCCTCACTGCCCGTCACTCAGCTGAATTACCCTCTAAACCAACGTTTTTCTACACCGTCTGCTGCAGCCAAAGCCAATTAGATTGGGGGTGAGGAATGAGGGATCCCACTCCTATGAGCAATACAGAAAGGAGAAAGGTGTGATCGTGACCCTCTTCAGCATGTACCTGATCAGGAGGTATTGCCTAGACATTGGGGGGGTGTTGGTGTTACAGGCATATATTTAGACAAAACTTTTCACAGAATTTTACTGTCTTAATGAATTTTTTATTTTTTTGCTGCGCAACAGAAGTGAAGGTATCTCCAGTTAAAGGTATTTCATGTTGATAGAAATCAACTGATTATGGAGGTCTGGACTTATCAAGCAATGTATCTAATAGGTATATTTAAAGTACCTTTGGAATTTCCCAGGTAAAGGAAACTAACCTCCTTGAAAAGGTGACCATAACTAATGTAGGAGATGAGACCAATAAAAAAACACAGTTGAAACTTTATCCTACAGTTATGAACGTTCTGGGAAAAGCCTGAAAATGTTCAAGGATATGACTTTAAGAGAAGCTAACTACATCTAATTTCTCTTCAGTAATCTAAACGGGAAACATTTAGCAATTAATTAATTAATTAATTCTAATTTTTAGAATAGCCATATATGAAAGACACCAAAAAAAAAACTTTTTAAAGATTACTTACCATTTGTCAAGCGGTCAAACAAGAAAATGTCAAAATCCCACATTCCCACTTTGGAGAGCATATGCTAGAAAAAACAAATATGTTAAAGGCAAATGACTGGTATGTTGAACTGTAAAGCAGATTTAAATTATTATTTCACAGTAATCAATCACAGGATTGATTGCTGTAGCTTTAAAGTTTTGTTTGGGAAAGCTACAAAATGTTCAAGGATATGACTTTAAGAGAAGCTAACTACATCTAATTTCTCTTCAGTAATCTAAACGGGAAACATTTAGCAATTAATTAATTAATTAATTCTAATTTTTAGAATAGCCATATATGAAAGACACCAAAAAAAAAACTTTTTAAAGATTACTTACCATTTGTCAAGCGGTCAAACAAGAAAATGTCAAAATCCCACATTCCCACTTTGGAGAGCATATGCTAGAAAAAACAAATATGTTAAAGGCAAATGACTGGTATGTTGAACTGTAAAGCAGATTTAAATTATTATTTCACAGTAATCAATCACAGGATTGATTGCTGTAGCTTTAAAGTTTTGTTTGGGAAAGCTACAGAGATGTATTTGAAATATCAGACATCAGGAACCAAATTTAGCTGTACTGCAGAAAATATCACTTGCACTTTGAGGAGGTTTTGAACTTGACACTACAATACCTTCTAAATGGAGCTCAAAGCATGGAATAAAAGATACTAAAATATTATGAAAATAATATTTTTCCCTGTTACAGCACAACTTTTTTATTGTTCTTTCAGGTGGCAAAATCAATTCAGTATGAATTCTCTTAGGTTTTTATTACAGTAAAACGCAATCTTAGCTCTCACGGTGAATATGAATTACACTTTGCTAAATAATCCAATAGACAGGAATAGCTTTTATAAACTTAAATACAGTGCTTCTGTGAATCCCACTCAGCCACGCAGAAAAATCCATCGCTACCATCCACCATATACAGTGCTTTTACAGCTACAGCAGTTCAGTCAAGAGAATGAGTCTGGACTAACTGTATGACCTATAGTGACATATAGAATCACAGAATGGTTTGGGTTGGAAGGGACCTTAAAGATCATCCAGTTCCAAACCCCTGCCCTGGGCAGGGACACCTCCCACCAGACCAGGTTGCTCAAATACGTGTGAATGAAACCTGCATTGACTCCAACATTTATTCTATATTCAAATCAGTTCTGGATTCTTAATTACTTTCTAACACCTGGCACGTAATCTCCTCTTGCAGAGAACAAAAATTGCCCAGGCACATAATCCCAATGCCATTCGGTTGTGCACGTTTTCTTCGGAAATATCATTCAAAGCAAGTATAAGAGCTGCTACAACTTTTTTATTGTTCTTTCAGGTGGCAAAATCAATTCAGTATGAATTCTCTTAGGTTTTTATTACAGTAAAACGCAATCTTAGCTCTCACGGTGAATATGAATTACACTTTGCTAAATAATCTAATAGACAGGAATAGCTTTTATAAACTTAAATACAGTGCTTCTGTGAATCCCACTCAGCCACGCAGAAAAATCCATCGCTACCATCCACCATATACAGTGCTTTTACAGCTACAGCAGTTCAGTCAAGAGAATGAGTCTAGACTAACTGTATGACCTATAGTGACATATAGAATCATGGAATGGTTTGGGTTGGAAGGGACCTTAAAGATCATCAAGTTCCAAACCCCTGCCATGGGCAGGGACACCTCCCACCAGACCAGGTTGCTCAAATACGTGTGAATGAAACCTGCATTGACTCCAACATTTATTCTATATTCAAATCAGTTCTGGATTCTTAATTACTTTCTAACACCTGGCACGTAATCTCCTCTTGCGGAGAACAAAAATTGCCCAGGCACATAATCCCAATGCCATTCGGTTGTGCACGTTTTCTTTGAAAATATCATTCAAAGCAAGTATGAGAGCTGCAAAATAAGAGAATTATATTTTGATTGAACTGTGAAGTTCTTTGCAGGGAACATGTTCCCTGTTTCCTAGGCTTTGCTGTTACGGAGAGCTATTGTGGGTTGCCTAATAGCTGCTCCGTACCAGCTGAGAGCCAGCTGCCTTTTTTCAAGCAGATGAACTAAATCCTGCGTGGAGGCTGCACCTACTTAAATCAGAAACTCAGCCAGGGATCCTTCCTCCTTCAAGAAATCCAGATTATAACTTCAGTTGACAGAACCTGAAAATGCTGAATAGATTTAGAGGTTTTTTTGTTGCTTTGAGGCTAAACCCCTAAAGCTGTAACGGTAAAAGAGGAATGGACAGTCTGTTTGCTGCATGGGTCAGTTAAGAAGGACCAGCCATACGCTTGTTTATCTGAACACTGCAACAAAACCGAGTATTATTAAGAGAACTGGAGGTCTGGAGACCCATCTTACCCTTGCTTGTCCAAGGTAGTCCTCATCCAGTAGGTATAGAGAGGCTTGTGGTACAATTCCACGCAGTAACCGGGATGCATGGAAATACCTCTGGAAACTTAACAGTCTTTTCACTTTTTTCTTGGTGCCGATTTCCCCTGAGAGTGTAGTATCTGTGAAAACAGCAATCAGTATAGAAACCGTGAAAACCAAGACGAAGGATGGCATTCTCAACTATTTAACAAGAGAAACAGCAAAAAATTTAAGAGCGCGATACAAAATCATTATGTTCATGCTTCTCGCCAATCCACATGAAGGAGCAGCATTCAAATCCCTGGAATTCAGCAGAATGTATTTGTTGACTTCAGAAAGGAAATATGTCCCAGTAAAAAGAGTACTAATGTAGGACTTAGAAGACCAGAGCTCAGTGCACTGCTTGCTGCAGACTTCAATGTGATCCAGGCAAAGTCACTGTAGGGGTTGACATGTCACCTACCTGTAGATGTCTAGAGGGAGCCCAAATGACCAGGCAGAGTTGGGTACAGAAAAGCTGCTCTTACTCTTATCACAGACTCATAGAATTGCCTATGTTGGAAGGGACCTTTCAGACCATCTAGTCCAACCATCAACCTCTATCCCCTCGCTATAGAATGGACAATAGCATTACCTTGCTACCTCACAGGAGTGTCACTGGAATATATTCCAACTCCACAGCACTCACATACAAGGTGAACTTGGATAGAAAACCAAAAGACTGACAGCAAAAGAGACCTCAAAATACACTCTTGAAAGCACAAATGTATCACTCGCTTTTGGAAAACGAGAGAAAAGAGAGAAAGAAGTAAGAACAGGTTAATAATCCTATCGCATTGTCTGATGTCCTTCCTACATGGTAAGGCAAGTTACAAATGAAGAAAATATTTTAGTTCTACAATTAGGAAAAGAAGTATAATCAGGCAATACATGCATTTCTGATTATACAACAGAATATGTTCTTTTCACTCAGAACCATTCTAATTCCCTAATGCTGTATTAGGAGATTTTCATATAGGGCTAAATGTGACACAAAAACCAAGGCAGTTTCTAGACAGTGATTAAAATCAGTAATTAGAGTAATTAAATTACCTTATTAATAGTAAGAATGATATGCAGGCTTCCTAAAACTGATAATGACTTAGGGAATTTCATCTCAACTTTTCACAGAACCTCACGTGCAGTTGTGATGTTTTAATTTTGCAGCCTAGAATGGACAATAGCATTACCTTGCTACCTCACAGGAGTGTCACTGGAATATATTCCAACTCCACAGCACTCACATACAAGGTGAACTTGGATAGAAAACCAAAAGACTGACAGCAAAAGAGACCTCAAAATACACTCTTGAAAGCACAAATGTATCACTCGCTTTTGGAAAACGAGAGAAAAGAGAGAAAGTAGTAAGAACAGGTTAATAATCCTATCGCATTGTCTGATGTCCTTCCTACATGGTAAGGCAAGTTACAAATGAAGAAAATATTTTAGTTCTACAATTAGGAAAAGAAGTATAATCAGGCAATACATGCATTTCTGATTATACAACAGAATATGTTCTTTTCACTCAGAGCCAGGATAATTCTAATTCCCTAATGCTGTATTAGGAGATTTTCATATAGGGCTAAATGTGACACAAAAACCAAGGCAGTTTCTAGACAGTGATTAAAATCAGTAATTAGAGTAATTAAATTACCTTATTAATAGTAAGAATGATATGCAGGCTTCCTAAAACTGATAATGACTTAGGGAATTTCATCTCAACTTTTCACAGAACCTCACGTGCAGTTGTGATGTTTTAATTTTGCAGCCTGGTGTGAGTCTTGGGAAAAGGGAGGACAGAAACTGGATAGTTGTTTGACAGTAACAAGATTCAAGACAGTTTTATTGGTAAGAGGAACCTCATCAGGAACTGAAGATCAAGCACTCCTTTCAGAGAAGAGTCATGATTGCCGGAGACAAGAAGCTGCATAGTGATTCACTGGATTTCAGGTTTAAATGAGGGCTCAGGAAAAACACCCATGGACTGAAGGTGACTCTATTCTGCTGCTTCTTTCTATGCAAAAATGGTAAGTGTTTGTTCTGCTGTGACATTAAAATACAACTTTCTATTCAGGTTTGATTTTTGTGTGTGAGTTGTTGCGTATTATTATTCTGAGAGGTTTTTCAGAGAAGTCATTAAGGTTTTTTTGGGTCATAGATGGTTTAGGCATTTGATTTCTCCAACAGCAGATGTGCGAGCACCTTCTTTAGCAAGTTCCTTAAGTAATCCAACAGCTATTGGGCATCACAAAAGTCAGTATCAACAAAATAATACATACTTACACACTGAGTATCAATACTTGTATCAACAAAATAATACATACTTACACACTCAGTATCAATATATTTTCTTACACCTGTAAGTCCCACACTTCTCGTGGGCAGCCCGAAGAGCCCACCAAGTTTTAATAATATAAAAGCACAAAATAATTTTATTGCAAGGTGACAAGCCATGTGTTTTCAAGAATGCAAACAGTAACAATGTCACTCAGCCCAAAGGTTAGATTTTCATTTACGATGTGCCAGCACCTGCCTTAATTCACTCACAAGCTTTAAAAGCTGGAATAACTTCAGGGCCCGCTGAAGGAGTGACTAATGTAGGTGCTAACAGTCACCCAGTGACAGCGACATGTGGAGGAACTGGTAGAGTTGTTTCCACCTTTCTTTTGATTTATATAGTGCTGCTAAGAAGGGGCTGGCCTTCAGCTTAATTCCTGGATAACAAAACGCTCTTGAAATTAATTCCATCTTTAAACTATTGTCAGCTGTTCCGCGACTTCCCAACTTTCTTAATTCCATCTTTGCCCCCAAACTGTCACCGCCTTGGGGTAACAAGTTTAAAGCATGGAAAACTTCCCTTTGGTACATTACAAATGAGTAGTTGCTCCAACTAATTTTTATCTAAGTTATCACCTGGTCCTTTGGTGGTTGGACTAGATGATTTTAAAGGTCCCTTCCAACCTAGACAATTCTATGATTCTAAAGACAGATGACTACAATTACTACCAATGTTCCCCTAAACTGTCTTTAAAACTCACACATAGAATTGCTGTGGACAATCTGAAGATTTGACCTGTGTCCCAACAAGCAGCCCTACGTTGGACTACGAAGAAGTGGTTATTTTATCCATTGGATTACCAGATTATATTAGTAGCACAAATAATACTTGACAAGCCCCCCCCCGCCCCCAAACACCAGGTTGAAATAAACAATTTCTTACTGTGAAACGTACTTTCTGACTTGAATCATTCAACTTACTGCCACTGCTTTGTCACGTTGCTCCATAGGGTTGGCACAGGTCTCAACTGAGATTTAAGCATCGTCAGACAGTGCGCCTGAAACATGACTTGCTGTTTCAGATGAGCACCGTATAACAACATTTTATGCTAAAAAAAGACTACCCACAATAATCTGCCGCCTTGTATTTTCATCCATAAGGCAAGGAGTTCATTATACTGATGTAAAACGGTAGGAAATGTATTTTCAAAATCAGGCTCTTGATGGAACAGCCCAAATCCCACACTGCAGCCTATCCACAGGTAAATTCTGGATGCTAATTTAAAAGATATCATGTTAAAATCCCATCCTTTGGGTTCTTTCAGTAATAATTGATCTATCTCTGAATCACAGGACTTGCCAGATGATTGCTATGCCCCATAACAGGGTCACAATAACTCACAATAACGTACCTTATTATGATGGTGTCTTGCATAAAATTGGACTGACTCTGCCTCTCTCCGAGCACAATGCTCCAAAAATATTATAATCTCATCAACATTTTATCTTTCCCCTCCCACGATCAGTGTCAAACAAAATAGAAAAGCACAGCCATATGAAGTTGAGAGAAAAAGGATGGTTGAAAAAGAAGAGCAAAAGGCGAAGCAGCTGTGAGGGAATGCTCAAATCCTGTCCCCAGCTTCACCAATTGCACCTGAATCTCCCAGCAGCAAAGATTAAATTAAAGGTTTACATGAATGACTTACAATAATACACTGAACTTCCTTATTGGCAACTGCAACTTTGAATTTAAATTGTAAATATAAAATTTTGATGATGACACCTGATGTAAGTCATAGAATGACTTTGAAGCATGAACAGTTATTGACAGCTATTTCTGATTAATTTAAATTGAATTACAAGTAAATGAATCAAAAATCTCATTGCAGACATCACTGAACTTCAATCCTGGAACTACGGGTGCTAAAACATATGCTATATTATTTAGTTAAAGAACACAAGCTGCAAGGCTCACATGGGAAGGCTTTAGTAATTACATGCCATTTTGAAATGAATGTGAAAGACAAACAAGAATGTCTTTTGTTTATACACATAAAACTTCCCTTGAGAACTGTGTTTATCTTTCATCATTGTGGCAACTTCTGAATGTTTTGTTTACCTAAAAAAGGCATCATCTGTATGTCTTAAAAGATCATAAAATCATAGAACAGTTTGGGTTGGAAGAGACCTTAAAGACCATCCAGTTCCAACCCCCTGCCCTGGGCAGGGACACCTCCCACCAGACCAGGTTGCTCCAAGCCCCATCCAGCCTGGCCTTGAACCCCTCCAGGGATGGGGCAGCCACAGCTTCTCTGGGCAACCTCTTCCAGTGTCTCACCCCCCTCACAGGAAAGAATTTCTTTCTAGTATCTAATCAAAAGCTTCTCTTTTTCAGTTTAAAACCGTTACCCCTCGTCCTATTACTCCACTCCCTGATCAAGAGTCCCTCCCCAAGAGGGATGCTCTTTCTTCTACCCTGTGGAGTTACTGCCGTTCTGGTGGAGTGGTTGGAGAATTCCTTCTTTGTATATTGGACAAAGTTATTGTATGAATTACCTACACATTTACAGAAGCCTCCACATAAGCATTCCTCACAAAGCTTAACTTCTGCCTTTCAAAGTCACAGGCACCCAGAGCTCACAGCATTATCTCCTGACGTGTTCCAGCCGGCAGCAAAAGTGGTTGCTTTTTTCCTTGGGCCATTTGACACCCCCATCACATACACCCCCTATATCAGCCCACGGGTGATGGCACATGGCCCTCAAGAGGTTAATAAGCTGCAGGAATCAATGGTTGCCTTCTCTCTCCTAACAAAGCTCCTCCA